AGAGGAGGCCTGCAGCCGACGGGCACAGGGAGGCCGGGCTGTGTCGTGGGTCCTCCGCCGGCGGCCTGGCAGATGAGGGGGAAAACGGTCGGCCGCGAGAGAAAGGAAAAAGCGAGGATTCTGCGACTCAGGCCTAGTTGCACCAGGGACAAGGAGGCCCCAGGCCTGACAAACTAGTGGTGTGAGGGGGTGGGGTTCAGAGCCAGGCTGAAGTGGGGCGAGATGGCCGGCCAGGCCCCATGGGAGAAGCCAGAGGAGGAGGGAGGTGGCAGGACAGGAGGCTCCGGGCCTTGGAGTCGGGGGAGGGGAGTTCCACGAGGAGGCCAGGGGATGAGGGTGGCAGGCTGAGTCTTTGCCTGGACAAGGCCCCGAGTAGGTCGAGTGAAACCTTGTTACCCCAGGGTGAGGGTTTGCATTACTGTATACCCTCAGAAGGTGGTGTGTGGAAAGGCCCTGGAGTTTGGAAGATTGGGGCTCTAGGATAAGCCCCAAGACCTTAGAGAATGGTCAATCAAGGAGGCACTGGCGATGGGTAGATGAGGGCCACCCATACTGAGAAGGCCCAAGCCCTTGGAGTAGTAGGGGGCAGGGGGACTATTAAAAGTGCGGAAGGGATTGTGGAGGCCTTATACCAACATTTTAGAAGAGGGCTGGCCTATAGGAAATGGGAGAAAAGTATCAGTAGAGTTGAACAGGAGCTCAGAAAAGTTCTGGGAACATGGGAGGCAGGGGGCCTCTGGCTGTATCCACCTGGAGCCTCTGGGATGCCCCTCCCAGCTAGAAGGGGAAAGAACAGGGTATGCCCCCATTTGGGAGGAGGAAGCACTAAAGGAAAGGATAGGCTGGAAAAAAAAACGAAGAACCTGTCTAAAAAGAATGGAGAGGGATAGGCCTGCTGGTGAACACCTATAATCCCAGCACTCTGAAGGCAGAGGCAGGAGGATTGCTAAGAGTTCAAAGCTAACCTGAGCTATTGAGTTCAGGGTCATCCTGAACTACAAAGTGAGACCCTGTCTAAAAAGCCGGGGTGGGGATGGGGATTTAGCTCAGTGGTGCCACTGCCTGCCTCCCAAACACAAGGTCCTGAGTTTGATCCTCAGTACAAAAAGAAAAAAAAAAAGATTGCAGAATAGGAGTTTTTCTGTAATCCAAGATCTTTTTTTTTTTTTTGGTACCTGGGATTGAACTGGGGTCCTTGCACTTGGGAGGTAGGCCACCGAACCGCTGAGCTAAATCCCCGGCCCATGTAATCCAAGATCTTAAACTTGTTCTTGGTAAATCAGAGATGCTATTGACAAGATAAATATAATAATGGCCTATATTCAGTGATTTTAGGGCCAGGGATTTAGCTCAGTGGTGCCACCATCTGCCTTACAAGTGCAAGGTCCTGAGTTCCATCCCTGGTACAAAAACAAAACAAAACAAGATATATTTAGTGATGCTGTTGTGGCCAGGTATTTTTTAAACTAGCACTAGCCTGCTCTCCTTTAATCTTTATGATGTGGTCATTTATCATGAAGTGGTCATTGCTATCTCCATTTTTAAATTGAGGAAACTGATGCTTAAAGAGGTTAAATAATTTTTTTAAGAACTCACAATTAACTAAGTAATCAGGCAAGATTTTAGTCAGATTTGTTCAAGTATAGAGATTAAACCCTTTAACCACTATACTGTAATCCCTCTCAAAACTAAAAAGGTTTGCAAAAGCTGGTTTTGTTTCTTAAGATATAGGCAATTTAGAGTATAGAGACTAATTGCCTCCATTCTTTATAGAAAAGTGCTAGTTCAGGGTATAGTACTGGCCCAGTACATGAAAGTGGTCAGTCTAGAAGATGGGAAGGGAATTCAGAAAGGCTTAATAAAAGGTTTATTATAGTTGAAAGATGAGTAGTTGATATGCTGAAGTGACATGGACACTACCATTTGAGAGAACAGCATGACAAAGGCAGAAGGAAGCATAATATGTTAGGTAAGTGAAAAAAGTCATTTAGTGTGGTTTATAGGACACAAAAGAGCTGAAGTTAGTATGGCAGATTATGGAGATGCTTTTATTGTACATATGTAGTAGAACCTTTTTAATGCAGAATGGTTCATTATGAGCAGTTAGCTTATTTTGTGGGATTGTCTTTCCCTTACCCCTGAAATTCCAGTTACCCAATAGCCGAAGTAGATCAAAGTTTGGAACAAATTTAGGTTAGCTTCTCTAGGTTACATTTATCAAATGAGAAATCTACCCTTCTGTTTTCCTTTCCAGTAGAGTATGTAATTCTTGGAAACCTTGGGAGGAAAAGTAAACTTTGTGTTTTGGTTTTTGTAGCCCTCCCAGGCCCAATACTTCAAAGCATCTTACCCCTGCTCAATATATATTACTTGGAGAGGATTGAGGAAACTGCTCTAAAGAAAGGTGAGTGTTTTTTTGTTGTCTCTCTCTGTGATTATGAGCAAGGCACCATGATGTTCTTCAGGTAAATATTACATTTGATGCCTGCATAGAACTGTCTGCTTTTCAAAAACTATCCTCATATCTGCCTTCTGATATGATTCCCTACAGTATCTTATGAAACACCAAGCAAGATATGATCCTTGTTATTCTGATAAACGTGAAAAACAAGCACACCATGATAAATAGCAAAGCCAAAACTAGAACCCAGATTTTATTAATCTTAGTTTTTGGTTTTACAAAGTAACTTCTCTTCACTCTCTTTGGACAATCTGTTATAGCTGACATTAATCTAACCCTAATGTGCTAAATATTTTCCTGGTTATTTACCCAGAGAAATTTACTCACCCATTTCATCCTTCCTTTCCACAACCCTATGAGATAGCTACTAAATACATTTTACATATGAAGACATTGAAGTACAGAGAAAAATAAAATTGTTTTGGTTCCAGGGATCAAACTCAGGACCTTGCACTTACATGCGAGGCAGGCACGGTGCCACTGAGCTAAATCCCTGGCCCTAGAGAAATTATGTAACTTGCCCAAGACTATTGATTTGCTGATATTTGAACCCATGCAGTCTTTCTTTAGACCTGGGACTCTTTAATTCTGCCTACACTGTTCCTGTAAAGCCAGAGGACAAGGGGAAAGGCTGGTGTATTTCACTTATGGTGGCCAACAAGCAGCCAAGTAAGTGTGATATTCTCCCTACAGGCCTCTCTACTCAGGCTATCTGGCGCCGACTCTGGGATGAGCTGATGAAGACAAGACCTTCCAGTTTGGAAGTAAGTTTAAGGAACCAGGTAGAACTCTAGCCTAATCTTGCACGCTGAAAGCAGGAATAGCACAAAAGCACAAGCTGGGAACTGGTAAAGTACAGGCACAGGAATAGAATGGAATTGGGAGGAGGGCTGAGATGTATTATCATGAGGTTCTTGCCCATTTGGCATTTCTGGCTGACATGTTTACTTACCATA